ATTAAAGATAAATTAATCATAAATTGATTAAATTATACAACCAGTCATTGTCTCGATCTTCCAAAGAATAATTCACCTATCAAACTTTGAAACTGTCAATGCAGACAATTGGTGACAAAATGAATAACTCCAAAAAATTCCTCAGATTGAGTAGTGCTTGCGTTTTTATAAAAACTCACTGCAAAAGAGCATCTTTCAGATAACAGCTGATGTTTCCAAATTATGAGAACTTAGAACATTTATGTTTAATTTCTGGGAAATACTAAATTGGATACGAGGAATTTTGCCATGTTACTTTTAATTCAGCCTTTAATGATAGTTTTAACTCCCTTTTTTGCTCTACCCGTTTGTCTATACTGGAGGAGATTTAGACAAGAAGTGCTGTTAAAACATTGCTTTCTTTTCAGTTTCTATCTTTTAAAGATAAGAATTCCATGTATATTATGGTTAAGATGATTATTTGATTTTTAATGATAGATTTCAGATTGCAGTCAATCTGAGTGTGGAACGCTACGCACTGGTGTTTGGAATGAACACTTTCATTGCCTTGGTGATTCAGACCATCATGACTGTGATCGTAGTGGATCAGAGAGGGCTCAACCTGCAAATCAGCATTCAGGTAAGCTGCAACACTTGTGTTTTGCTACTGATATAATTGGTGGGAATGTAGAATTACTAGATAACATCAAAGGTTTCTCCACCTTACAACTAGCAATATTTAAATTTCTCGAATTCTTTGGTTAGCAAATTTAAAAATGCACAATTCATTAATTATCGTATTGTAATACACCAAGTAGGTTTTGAACAATAATTTCAACTAGGTCAACATTTACCTGGATAAGGCACGTAAGAAGTAACCTCACTACCTAAAATTTATTTTTGAAGACATCGTATATAGCATTGTACCAGCCTCCAAACACAGACATACAGACAGATCAGTGGGATTTACTATTTTTTCACTACTGATGACAGTAGCTAGGATTTGAACCCAAGCAACCTGCTCCAAAGCCAAGACCCTTAGTCCCCACTGCATTACTTACATATTCATACTTGATTCTTCTATAACAACACAGGAGAAGAGAATACTGTCCAATCTAAATAACCCATTATTAAGGTCCTGGGTCCCAGTTACCCCATAATCCAAGTAAACCAACAACATCATTAATATATTATCATTGACATAGATGATCAGATTTTATATGTGGCTAATTATTTGTTTTTCTCCAGTTTTTAGTTTATGGGAGTTATTTTGCAGTCATTGCTGGAATTTTCCTAATGAGAAGCATATACATTATGTACTCAGCCAAATGCCGAAAGGAAGTACGGAGCCCTGCTGCAAGTCAGCATCCAGAGGGGCCACACCCAGAGGAACCAAGAAATACCACCATGTCAACAAAGCTCTAACCTTACAACATCAACTGCTGCAGTGGTTTTCAAAGTCACTGAATGAATATGCAGGGTTTTGAGATGGATGGCATATGTTTTGCCATAAATTGACATGCTTTGCAAGTCTGGATCCCAAATGAACCTTTTCAAAACTACAGTAACACCTCAGTTTCAGACCAGTTATCTATGTGCCCAGCTGAACTGGATGTAGTTGACAGAACCCATCATCACAATTAAACAACCCACGTCAGGGACTCCGCGGATGGCAGTAACTGGAAAATTCCGGTTTCAATCACTTGCAAGGACATGCAAATGGCATGGAATTAAACCATGAGAAAACTCCAGCCATCCTGGAGTTGATGTTCCCTTTTTGGGAGCAGAAATACTGACTGGACTGATGCTGTTGCTTGGCTCAGATACTTGCTTGATCTTACCAAAGCAGGCAACACATGGGACATTTTTGTTACATGAGCCATTTTCTTTCCTCTTTGAGTAAGTGTATTTCTGTTTAAGTACAGTTCTCTGAGAGAATTACAAGGTTTGGTCCCATTTCTAAGGGCGCCTCTTCAGCTATGATAATATAGCATTATTTACAAGTTATGATTTGATAATGTCACCACCTAATTTTTTCATGACGATTTTTCATTTTATGCTTTGCCGAGCTTTGTTGTTAAATCTCTACCTCAGGGATAGCTCCAGACACTCCTGTGTATCTGCAGAATGACACTTGGGTTTTCCTGTCTAAAATAGGAAAACTTTTTAAGAATTCCAGAGATTCATAGAAGTTTTCATAAATAAGAAAACACTGATGGGAGGGGTTATAATACACTTAATTTTTAAATGGCAGAGATTGTGCTAAATAAAATGTGTCAAAATTTTCAAGAGTCTTGCTAATTTGTTGATGGATTCTGCTGAAAGTTATCTAAGCATGTCTGCCCTTTGAAACTTCAATAGAGGATACATTGATCAGTCTGACACTGGGAATAAAGAATGGTGATTCAAGATTTGTATCTCAAATATATTTTCTCCAATTCCCAAAATTCATTTGCTAGATTAAAAATAAAATTCAGCCTAGTAGCCAATACATTCACTTAGTGGAGAAAACTAATAATATTCCTATTTTGCATCAAAATCAAGGAAAGAATTGCCACCGTTATTCTTCTTATTTAACTTATTGTACTGGAGTGTTAGGTAGCACAATTAGACAAGCAAAAAAAAAAAAAAATCAGAAGTCAAAACTTAGAAAGGAGGAGGCAAAATTATCACTATTCCAGAGGCTACAAGTATACACCTAAGAGACTCAACTAAAAACTGAGATACTATGTAGAAAATAAGCATACCATACAACAACCAATTAGAAAATATTATCAGAGGAAAAGATCCCATTTACAGTGGAACAAAAATGATAAAACACTTAAGATTATATTTTCCCTATTTAATAATTTAATAAATGTGTAAGACATATGAATAAGCTTGAAAACATTTTTGAAGATTATAAACTAACCCCTAAATATATAGAAAAGCCTATCTTGTTGGTTAGAAAGAAAAAAATACATAAAGACATGAGGCCCCCTAAATATATTTATAAGTTAAATCTTATCCCTGAGAAAATATAACACATTTTTTTTCAGAACTAGTAATGATGATTCTAAATTTTATTTGGAAAATTAACAAGAACAAAGAAAAATACTTTTTAGAAGTAGAAAAATGAAATTATTTGCAGATATTAAAATTCTACTCTAAGTACAGTAACATAGGAGTATGACAGTTCAATAGAACCAATAGAAAATTCTGAATTAGTCCTTAAGTCTTTTGAGATTTTAGGCTATGATAAAGGTAGCATCTCATAAAAGGAAGAAAAAGATAAACTATTTAATGAGACTAAAACAATTTTTTAGAGGAAAAAATAAGTTGGACCCAAAAGTGCTAAAGTAACTCTATCAAACTATGAAAGTACTAGGGGAAAACAGGTAAGAATTATTTTAAAACCTCAAACCTTTCTAAAGTAACAAATATCCAGATGTAAAAAAATGAAACTACAAAAGTACTAGGAGAAAATATGTAAGAATTATTTTATGATCTCAAACCTTTCTAAAGAACCATGCTTGGTGAAATTCCCAACCAACCAGAGTGCAATGTTCTCTTAATTTTCATAGCTGTCACTTTCCTAGAAACTTCACTGTAAATTAAGCTAATGTGAAAAATACTCTTTATATAATAAAGAGAGTGGAGTTAATTATAGGTTCCAGTAATTACACATGGGAGTTCACTTACTCAAATGCCCAAGGGATATTTGAAAATTATGTAAGTCACAAAACAAGTCTGTTGTGTGGAATGTCCCATGTATGACAGGATCTACCATCCTTATCCCTGACCAAGAGATGCCAGTGGTGCCCTCTTCATGGTGACAACCAAAAACCATCTCCGCAAATTTCCAAGCACCCCAAGCGGACAGAAGCCTCCTTCTTGAGAACCATTGGTTTAAATAAACAGGTATTTGATTTCAAAATATCCATGTGTACTTAGACTAGTAAAGCATAGGGCTCTAAAAAGATTGTCTAATAGGACCATAAGTCTTTTATTTTAATTTAGCAGAATTTATTTCAGCAATTAAAAACAAAGCAAAAGGAAACCAAAACAATTCACGAACTGGGCAGCCCCCAGAACCAAAAAGGCTCAGAGGACTCCAGGACCATAATTCTTAACAGTGACACAGAATGTGTTATTCATATTAATTGTTTGCTCTTGGAGGTCAAGTAAGCTCGCTCTTGGTTCCTGTGTTCATATTTGATAACTAACTAGTAAAAAAACTGAGCTTGCTTCATTGTTAATGTAATAACAATAGTCACAAACATTTGGTCCACTCACTGAGTATTCACAGTCAATACAAGTAAAAGAGTGAGTAGTCAACTGTAGTCACTCCCAGGGAAAGGTGTTCCACGTGGCATCTTTATGTAATTTATTAAACAGACTGATCGTAGTTTCTTTGGAACACAGCAGTAGAGGAAAACATCTCCTTTGAAAAAACACTAACAATCATCTTTGTTCTGTTGACTACCAATTTTCAGGACTTTGTAGTTTTGTCACTTTTAATAAAGTTAGAAGAAAACAAGTAAGGTGGAGTAAAGACAGGAAGGTAGGATTGCTTCGTTAGAGACAATGGGTTTTCGTGACTTTAAGAACACCCTATGGAGAAATACGTTAAAAGCTTTGGTTTGTACACCGAACAACTCTGGAACAACCACAGAAACAGGTCGCAGGCAGAGAGTGGAAATAAGAATACAGACAAGGCAAGAGAATAACCATTTCTGGGAAGAAAAAATAGGTCATGGTCCGAGCTTGTTGGGACTGCCTTTTGTTTATATTTAGACCGTGACTTACGCGAAATATTCAGATTTGGTTTGAGGAAGCTGTAGCTGAAGAGGCAGACGAGGCCCTTTTGACAAGTAAGCAGCTGGGCCACAGGGTTGTTAGAAGGGGAGGGACACATGGCGGTGGGTGTGGAATGTCTGAGGGAAGTGCCCATCTCAGGAGATGGAGAAATGAGGGTGGCAGGAGGGCAGGTCCCCAAGGCCAGGCGGTGGCCTGCCCAGTCGCCCTGTGCTTGCATTGTTGTCCTTGCCCGTTTATCACTCAACTTGTTCAAGAAGGTAGGAAGAAATCTTGCAGGTGCCCCTGTTGATAGGAAAGAATAAAAGTGGAATCACTCAGAGTTGTTGACTTTGTTTTATTAGGAAAGTGGCGATGTGGGGACTGGAAACAGTAGTAGTGGAAAAGGTGGGCGGTGGTGCCCATACACACAGAGAGGTGGAAATGCAAAGCTGGACGGCCATCAAACACCCATCGCATAGAACACTCGGAATCATGAGCCCTTTCGCTGGGCTCAGCCAGGTGGACTGATCTGTAGGTACTAGGCTGGCGTTACATTTTGGTAATGGCCGTTTCCTATTTCAATTTTTTTTTTTTTTAATAGAAGAGTTTTAAACTATTGGGTTTAAAAAGAGGAATGCAGAGTCCAAAGTAGTAAGTCCCAGGACACCAAGTAGATGATATCAAGTAAGGAGGTTTGGGAGAGAAGCAGACAGGGGCACGGGGAAAGTGTCATTAACCGGAGAGAGCAGGTCCCAGCACCTCTTAGGCTAGAGGCAGAGCCAGGCAGCGACTAGCAGCAGCACTGCCTCTTGCAGCCGCAGCTCTGCTGGCAGCAGCACTTCTGCTGGCAACAGCCCTTCCCGCAGCCACCGCCGCAGCCACACGAGCCGCAGGAGCGGCGGCAGCAGCAGATCACGGGCGTGCTGCAGCACCCCCCGCAGCAGCCGCGGCAGCAGGGGCAGCAGCTGGAGCAGCAGCCCACCCGGTAGCACCTGCAGCTGGAGCAGCCGCCGCAGCCACCGCCGCTGCCGCCACCGCAGCCACCACCGCAGCCACCACAGCCACAGCAACCCATGGTGTCAGTAGAGAGGACTCAGGAGAAGTGAGGAGGGAGGACACAGGAGAGGTGAGGGAGGTCTGATGCCTCCTTCTGCTGGGGGAGGCCCTTATGTACCATCTTGAGGAGGAGGGTGATGGAGTGACAGAGGACACATGACAAATGGCTACTTCCTTGTTGCTATTTATTCCAGTATCCACAAAAGAATCTAGAGTTATTTCTCATCTATATCCTTACTGGGAAAAAAATGGCTTAATAAAACAGTTAAGTTTTAAAAGAAAATTTTCTAAAATTTTCAAGCTCCCGTTTACATATTGAGAACCAGGCTTCATAGATTAAAAAAACTCAGGTTTGACATACAAGAGAGTATGAATGCCTTCTAACTCAGTAGAATATGGGGAGAAAAAGAGAAAGAAAAACAGAGATAGAGAAATAAGTTGATATGAGGAGTGACCCCAAGCACCCCCAGACCCCACGTGGAGTGGGAGGGACCCAGAATGTCCCTTTGCACGACAGAGACGGCTACAGACGGTGCTGGCTGGCGAGGTTGCTACGGCGTCACCATATTCAATATATTGAATGAAGAAGAAAAAAATGTTACTGTATAGAGGGAGACTGCGAGAACACTTATCTGTCACAGAGAGATCCTTATACCTTTCTTAGTGACGCATAAAAGAGTGATGTTTCTTATAGTCAATGACATGTTGGGTTTAATGAAATATAAAATGATTAATACGTTTAAAGAAACAAAAGAAGATAATGTAAATATAACAAAAGAACACAAGACTATCAATGATGACCAAGAAAATCTGCAAAGGAACCAAATTTCTAGAACTTCTAAAAACACAAAAATCAAACAAGTGAACATAAAAACTCAATGTACAGGTTAAACAGATTATTAGACATAGACGAAGAGAAAACTAGTGACAGAAAACGGAGCTTAATAAATTACTCAGAATTCCACACAGAGAGACAAAGAGATTAAAAATATGAAAAGTAGAAAGACGTAGATAAAAGAGGGACGATTTCTCACAGTAGTTCTCAAGCAGAGCTCTTACTTTATGGAGAATTTGGAAAAACATGAAGCCACTTTCATCTCCATGTCAACATTTAGTGTCTGGGGACCAATAATGTAAAATGTCCCATAATTCAAGGAGTAGTCTCACAAGATAAAGAATTTTCCCACCCAAATTTACAACAGTGCTTCTGTTGAGAGCCATCAGTTTAACAAATGTCTGATTGAAGTTAAAAAAAGAGATAATACAA